CGGGGGGGGGGGGTGACAGGGAGGAGGGGCAGGCGGTGGGAGTGGGCGCGGTCTGTCCGCGTTGGGTGGGAGACCCACGCGTGAAGGTGTCGGGACGGGAGGGAGGGAAGGAGGGAGGGTGGGGCTGTGAGAGGTCCCACGCGTGAGGGGGGCGCCGGAGTGGGGCGAGGGCAGGGTGTCGGGGAGCGGGGGGTGGTTGTCACCGGGCGGTGTGGCCTCGGGAGGTGTCCCCGCCGGTGTCCCGGTGTCCCCACGGCCTGTGGATCGTGCTGGGGGGTCTCTGGTATGTCCCTGCCTCCCCTTACCATAACGTTTTCCGAGGGCAGGAGGCTGTGCTTCCGTGTCCTGGGGGCCCACGGGGGCTATGGGTTTGTGTGTGCCCCCATGGGTGACGTGCTCCCACGCCAGTCCCCGAGGCTGGCTGGCCTCGCCGGACCTGTGTCCTTGCACATGGGCATATTTTGGGAATCTGTGTGTGGCTCTGGGGGTCCCTGTGACCCTGTGTGGGGTCCTTCAGGCAGGATTGTCCTCGCCATACGAGCTGAGCCCCGGGAAGAGGGTGTCCTTGTGTCCTTACACACGTGTGTGTCCCCAGTGCCCGGGTGTGTGTGCCTGGGAGGGGTGTCCCCGTGTCCTTGGCCATCGGGATCCCAGGGCTGCGCTCCAGACATGCAGGTGTGTCTGTGGGAAGGGGGTATCCCAGTGTGAGTGGGGAGAACACCCCCAGGTGTGTTTGTGCCTCCAGGTGCCCCGCAGTCTGTCTTTATTTTGGTATCCAGGCGCCTCAGCCCTTGGCTCGTGCTGCTTTGTGTTCTGCCAAGCTGGGCAGCGTTTGCAGCACTGGGTTGTGGTGCTTCCTCACGGAGCTGCCGAAGCAAGGAGTCAGCAGCTGCCCTGTGGGAGGCCGAAGGGAAGGCTCAGAGGCACTGGAAACTGCTTATTTCTGTGCTTTGAAGGGCCTCAGCGCCTGGTATCCGTGTCGAGCTGAAATCTAGGAGCGTTTTGTTCAAACCTAATGCCTGCCCTACATGCAGTTGTTGGAGCATGTTCCTACGTGAGCAGGTTGCTCCAGCAGCAGGGCGCTGCAATCCAGGATGAGCAGAGCTGTGGTAACTCCAGCCATCACTCAGGCTGTTGTTGCTCAGATTTCTTGTTGTAATTGGCAATATTCTTCCTCACAAACCATCCCGGAGCTGCTGCGAGGGCGCTGACACTCAGCATAATTAATAGCGTTGTTCTGCCATAACCAAGTGTTTGTTAAATCAGATGCAAACCTCGCTGAAAAGCACGCAGAAGGCAGCAAGGAGGCAGAAGACTGAGCTCCAGAGCTGGCCATACCTGTTGGGCCACGTGCCATGCACTAGCAGGTTCCCAGAGGGGATAGGAAAGCTCAGTTTGACAAAGTTTCCCATCTCCCAGCCGGCAGTTTGGCGCTCGGTGCCATCAGGTACAGGCTGACGGCGTGGGCAGTTGTCCTGAGCTTCAGCTGGTGCTCGGCGTGGTCCAGGGCTGCAAGAAGGCTCTTCTCCTGACCCATCCATGGATGCTCTTCCCACTTCAAGTGGCATGTCGCGTCGGGGTGAGTGAAAGGGTGGGAAGGAGAAGTGCCAGACGGGGAAGTAGCTGAGGAAATGACAGAGAAAAGAGAAAGCGGGAAGGCACAGGCCACAGCTGGACTGTGGGGAAGGGGTGTTCTCTGTCCTCTGCTGCATCCAAGTTCTCAGCAAAGTGCTGAGGGCAACCCTCTGAAGTGTTGGTGTCCCTGTCTCTAGATGGTCTTTTAATTGGAGTGAGTGAAGTAGTGAAAATGGAATCGATATCCAGGGCTTTTAATGCTGAGGGAACGGCAGAAGAAGTTACGTCTGGGCTGCTGCTTCCTTTCTAGAGAGAATGCTGAGGGAACGGCGGAAGAAGTTACGTCTGGGCTGCTGCTTCCTTCAGGGGTGTGAAGGGGGGTTTCTGTGGCTCTGATCTTGGCAGGTTACCATGGTGCTGCTGAATGAACCAACGTCTAAAGCAGATGTGCTGGGGCTGCCACCAAGGAAATGTGGTTTTGGTTTTACATGTGTTTTCCCACAAGTATTCTGGGCTCTAAAATAGAATACTGTCAGGCTGAAGAAACCTCACTCAAATATTAAGCAGGTGTTACTCTGGTGGCGGTACCTTTCCCAAAACAGTTTATATTAAAATGTAGTGAGGTTTGTTCAGTCATGCCCTTGATTATTAGTATTATTTTCCTACTTCATATCTTTTGTTTTGTTAGAAATGAAAGGCAAAGTGGAATTCAAGGTTTTCGTGGAAGCAGGCTGTTTGGGGACTGGTATGACAGAGGGGAGAGCATGTTAGATCGTAGAAGGAGAAAAAAGTTAATTAAGCCATTCTTTTTTTACTTCTAATGGAGATTGTGTTTTTTGCCTGTGTTGTAGTTTTTACTGATGTGCTCTTTACCTTCCCACGTCCCAGGCTCGGCAGACGCCTGGCTGGGGGTGTGGAAGGAAAACATTCTCACTTGCCTTGCAGCTGAGATGTGTTTGGTCTGAAGCTCCTCCCTGCTGTGCCCAGCCAAGTGCAGCAGGACGGGATGGAAGGGAATGAGTTCAGTAAATCAGTTCAGCCCCTGCTTTCTTTTTAAAGTGGTGGAGCTTTAAAATGTGGCTTTTTATCAGGTTAAAATGCTGCCATTAAAAGTGCATGATATTCTGCTGGGGAACATCTGTCGGCAGAGAAATTGTAGTCAGACCAGGCTGAGTTTTGTGGGAAATGAGCCTTGGTGTTTATTTTCAGGAGTACTCGAGCTCAGCATACCAAAAATGTAGGGAAATCAATGTTGGATATAGCAGTCACAATCTGGGTATTGTCCTAGTCGAAAATGACTTTAAAGTAGGACTTTCCAAGAGTGGAAACCAGTTGAGTCTCTGCGGTGCTGTGGGCACATGACAGCCACACAGACCTCCTTGCCGGGACAGACTGACACTGAATTTCCATCCCCGCAGCGTTGCCCCGTGTATCCCGGGCTCGGGAATGGAGAGCAAAGGTCAGGCCCCGCTGCCAGCACCGGGGACAAGGTGGAAAGAGGGACAAAGTGCAGCCCCGAGCCTGTGTCACGGGGCTGCGGGAGGGGGAAGACACCTCCTGGTGAGGTGCAGGCTTGTGGGTTTGAGCTTGTTTTCCCTGCACTGGCTTTTCTGCCCTCTTACTGCTGGGAATGGGAATGTTTCATTCCTGAGCACTATCAGCGTTGGGCAGTAACACCTCCCCTGGTAAATGGCTGCGTTCAGTTGGTGAATGTGCCCACGGGGCTTGAGGAGTAACGCTTTTACCAGGTTTCAGTCTTGAAGCAGCTTTGGCAGGGGTTCAGCCTGGATCTGTGTTAGAGGATCCTCTCGGTCAAGATCAAGGTGGCTTGAATAGAACTGAGATTTATGGGTGTAGAGAGATCGTCAGGCCAAATACGTTTTCTCCGCAGAGAAAAGAACTTCTTCCTACCACGGTCTGAGTTTTCTGAGCGCTTTGAAACAAGACAAGTTTGTCTGGGTGCTCCCATGTGTAATTAGTAGAGACGGATCGAGCATTTTGTGGGTAGCTGGAGGCGAGAATGAACACGCCGTGTGCTCTTCTGGCGGCTCCCCAGATGTACACCCCGAGATCTGTGAGGAGACACTGGGGGTGGCACCGCTTACTGGCGCAGAAGGGTGTTCGTACAGAAATATTCTGGGGTGGTTGTGTGTGATTTGCAGAGAAGTTCACTGGCAGGCTTGAAACTCTCCAAAGTGCAGCCAGGTCTCTGGCTTAGTGTGTGAAGCAGCGTTGAACTGGGCGTGCTAAAGGCAGAACATCCCCCTGTGCCGCTCACTTCCTCTCTTGTCAGCTTTATAGGGAAAAAAGCTTTGATTTTGTTTTTCTGCCAGCAGTTTGGCATTGCTGGCATTGGCCGCTGCGGTGTGGAATCTGTGCTGTGAAGGTCACTTCAGTAGCGTGGAGTCTGCTGAACTCTGGTGGTGGCACAGGCCGAGCCACAGGAGGAGGAGCTGGCTCGTGCTCAGGATTTTCCTAAACTCTGTGCTAATGAGGGGAGAGGGGAGGATGCGTTAATAAAGGACAGTTAAGCTGAGACTACTGAGAATTCCTTTAACATCTGCAACATCTTTCCTTCAGGTTATGCTTGCCGTAACATCTCCACCTCCACCACGCTCCAGAGTAAGTGCAAAGCTTTTCTACGGGAGTTGGTTTTCGTTCTTCAAACCCACTGGGCATAAGAGGATAACTCGTTTCTGTTTGTTTGCAGACAGGACCCACGTTAACTATGACATCAAAGGAGACGTTGCTGTTGTGCGTTTCAACACCCCAAACTCAAAGGTACCGTTCTGGCGGGTCATAGGCATCACTGGGAAGGGTGGGAATTGTACAGAGAAGGCATTGAAAATGCTAATTTAAGACTTGAGAACTTTCCTGACCTGCAGCCTTGCAAAGTTCCCAACAAAGTAGAAATAGGAGAGTGAGTGTTTATTGAGACATCTGAAAAAGCCTCCCGGAAATACTTTGTATGTACTAAAGTGGCTTGTTTCTTACTGGCACAAGAGATTGGTAAATCTTATTAAGCTTTTGTATTCAAGGTGGTTAAGGAGAGTGTCCGATTTACAGAAAAAAAAAAAATAAAAACAGCCTAGAAGCTCATAAAATCTGTGTTTGAGGTCACAAATCCACCGTTGGTGAGGTTAAGGAGGAACTTTTTAATAACAGATTACGTGATGACCTGCTACAAGGTTTCTTCTTGGAGTTTTTTTTCTCGCCATATTACAACACGAGATGAACTAACTTTTATAGCAGATCTGGTCTCAATTTGAGTGCCCCAGAAGTGCTATAATTGTGCCAAGCAGAGGCCTGGCTGTTGGGCGGATTCCTTTCCTTTTTTTTTTTTTGCAGAAGGCAAATCTTGAAGTGCTCTAGAGCTACTGCTGCTCCAGACAGATTGGAAAATCCATCCAGACCTACCGTTGGCTTTAGCTTTCTGTTGTCAGTCTGGTTTCTGTGCGTGTTTTCTGATGATGGAATGGTTGAGTCCAGAACTTAATCAGAGATTAACCTCCGCTGTCTGCTGGGCTCCCTATTTATGATGCTGCTCCCCTTTTTTTGCTGCCTTCAGGTGAACACTTTGTCCAAACAACTCAACGCAGAGTTTACTGAGGTGATGAATGAGATCTGGGCCAATGAAGGTATCAAAAGTGCCGTCCTCATTTCTTCGAAGCCAGGCTCTTTCATTGCTGGAGCGGATATCGAGTAAGTACGGAGGCTTTAGAGCTTTCCTGGGGCCAATGGTCTGGTGTGCTGTGAATTCCAAGTGGTTTGTCGCCCACGTGTCCCCAGGGGTGAAGCAGAGGCTGGGAATGAGATCAGTGGGCACAGGGTGCCTGAAGAGTTGCTCAGAAGAAGTTAGGACCTTGATAAAGAGGAACATGGCAAGTCGTTAAACCCCATTTGGCTGTAACACTTGGTCGCTCCTTCCTGCGTGCTGGGCTGCAGCCAAGGAAACCCTTCCTGGCTCCGGAGTGAGCATTGTCCTTTGGTCTGGGAGACAACAAGAGCAGATAATTTACATGCAGGGCTTCATTTAGGCTGGGTTTGAGGGCCTGGCAGCCCGCCAGTGTGGCCCCTCGATGAGGCAGGATCTGGCTCTCTGCCCCATGGAGCATCTCAGCAGCCTCCCAGGGGATTGAGCGTTGGGGAGCTCTTGTGGGGTTTGGGATCACCCTTGTGGGTGCTCTCACTGGGACCTGGAGTGCCCTTGGCTTCTTGTCCTGCCATTGCCCAGGACAGAATAGTTGTTTAAAGACATTAAAAACCAGAAAGTTCTGAGGAAAGAGGGTGAATTACAAATGGGCCCTTCAAGACCTTTTTGGCTCGGGGCAGAGACTTGATATATGCTGTGGTGGGAAGGAGGCAGTAGCCTGGTGAGCAGAGCAAAAGGACAAGCTGCATTTAAGAGATGTCTGCTGGTCTCAACACCACAAGCCTCCTGAATTGCGCCTGGCAAATGCTGCCAGTCTCCCCAAGAATAATTAGCACAGGGAGCCTCTAATTGGCGGAGCGCAACATCGGAGCGCTGGCCATCTGCTCCTCTAAAAACTGATCCCGGGCTCTTCCCTCCACCCTTCCTGGCAAGTGCTTTGAGGCTTCCTCTGGCCCTTCCTCCTCTACCCCAAAGGCTTTCACAGCTCTGACACAAGGAAGCTCATTCACCGCCTGCGGGCGCAGCCCCCGTGCCTGACCCCCCCTGAATTTAGTAGTCTTTCTGTGTTGTCTGTTAGTGTAAGACTCGGGGACTAAATAGCTCTCGCCTGGCTGTCAGTCCCTGGGGCTTTGTGGGAAAAGGGGAATGAACTCCTTGAAGCGCTCTCTGTTTTACTGCTGTTTTCTCAGTCCTTTTCCAACTCTGATCAGCCCTTCTGCCTCCCCTTGCAGCATGATTGCAGCCTGCAAGACTGCTCAGGAAGTGACTCAGCTCTCTCAGGACGGACAGAAGATGCTAGAAAAAATTGAGCAGTCTCCAAAGCCCATAGTCGCTGCCATCAGCGGCTCCTGCCTGGGAGGGGGACTGGAGGTACTGAACCCTTCTGGGCCTGGCAGGCAGCAGTGGGAGTCCATAGTGCCAGGTCTCTATAAACTAGCCCAAGGATGCCTGCAGGGCTACTCAGTGTGAGAGATTTGAGACCTGGGCTCGTTACATCCATTCAAATGAGTCTGTGGCAAGTTAATGGCTTGGTTGTGCTTCAGGGCTCTGCCACGCTAATTTTTCCTGCTTCTGCTAATCAAATATGAATCTCCGTGGGCCAGGCTAATATTTAGATGAGTGTCCCAGGGAAAACCGGCTGTTTCCGGCAGGCATTGGAGCTGGATAAATGCTGCTGGCAGAGTCCAGGCTGGAAATTGCTGCTTTTCAGATGAATGAGGCTCGTATCCCAGCAACTTCTGCGCTTGTAGAGGTGGTTGTGGGAGGGAGGAGCGTGGGGAACGTGGCCAGGCTCCACCCTGGCCCTGCGTACTCTGCTCTGTCCTTTTGGCTGGGTGCAGTATTTGCTTCGTAATCTCCATCTAGGATTTTGCAAACTGAAAGAATCTGGGTTAATTCCCAGAGCAAAGTTGTTACTAAAACAGAACAACTTGTGGGAGCGGAGTCTCTTCAGTCGGGTACTGATTTCTCAAGCAGTCACAACTTTTTACAGACACTGTGTGACAGATGTGAACGCGGTGATCCAGATAAACCAAGTATCGTGGCTGATCTGTAAATGGGACCATGCTCTCAGTGTAGGGAATGAATTTGGCTCTTGATGGTCTAGATGAGGTTTTAAAGTAGCTTGGCTCAGTTTGGGAGTTTCATGTTCGCGTCGTAGCTGATTGCTGGCATCTGCCACTGTGTGCTTCTCTTGCTGGGTGAAGCCACCCGTGAGCACAGAGGGAATTTGGGAATTGGGGTAGGGTTGGGAAGAAAGTTGAGGCAGTGCATAGAAGAAACTTTTGTGATGGCTGTCCCGTTCTTCTGTGGTCTTTCACAGGGAAACCTTTACTTTTCTCTTCCTTTTTTAAGGTTGCCATTGCCTGTCACTACAGAATAGCAACAAAGGACAAGAAAACAGTCTTAGGAACACCTGAAGTGATGCTGGGTCTCCTGCCAGGGGCAGGGGGTACTCAGAGGCTGCCAAAAATGGTAAGTAGGAGAAAAACTTTACTTGATGGCCCCTTCTGCACGGTGTGCTCCCATTCTGAGACCCCCTTTCTGCCCTTCCAGGTGGGACTTCCTGCTGCCTTTGATATGATGCTGACTGGAAGGAACATACGTGCTGACAGAGCAAAGAAGATGGGTCTGGTTGACCAGCTGGTGGACCCACTAGGTCAGACGTGATGCCTCTCGCTTGCTTGATCTGCTGCCCATCAGTTAACCCTTCCACCTTGCTGAAATAGGTGGAGAAGCCACTGCTGCAGAGTCCTTCCCATGCTCTGCAGTGCAATCTCCATTCCCACCTTAGAGGAATGTGCGTGGGGACCTTGAATTGTCAGGCTCCTGCTGAAGCAAAGCGAGTAAGGAAAGGTTAGCAGAGAGGGCAGGCCTGCTGGCTCTCTTGCATCAGCTAATTATACAGATAAGAACCTGCATTCCTCATTTATCATGTCAGAGGGACAGATTGCAGCCCATAATGAAAGGAGAGCAGGTGACCGATGTCTGCGCTTATGCCGCCTGCAGATGTTAATCTCTGTGACAAGATCTTGAGAAGCAGCCAGCCCCCACAGCTGAATTGCCAACTGACTTCAAGTTGGATGCAGAAATTCCTTGCAAACTGCAGACCAGCTTGCACCTCCAAGTGCTGAGTGAGCTGGCGAATAATTTCTTGCTTCTGCTGTTCCTTCACGAGGCGGGGCTGTTTTGGAAGGTAACTAAATAGAGGAACAAACCCTCCCCAGCCTCATCTGAAAGGTCTGAGCAGGCAGGAGTTAGGATGGAAACCACTGTCCCAGCTGGTCCTGCCACATAGTTGCACTGTGCTGAGCTGTGTTACCCTGGGCAGAGCGTGGCCAGAGCACCCTGGTGGCCCTTAGCTCCTGTATGTGAGGAAAATGAAATAAATAAAAAAAAAAGAAGGTGCTGCTGCCTACCCTGAGAAGTGCAAGGGAAGCCCCTGTGTCAGTTCTGTCTCACGTGCCAGTGTTCAGCTGGATGAGATACCCTCAGCTGTGTTCTCGCTTATAAAGTGGGTGGGTGGTACCCGGGCTTGAGCTAGAATTGCCTGAATAAGCTTTACCACCATGTACTCGCTTCAATATGAATTGGCTTTTAAGAGCCAGAAAACGTGGCTTTTTACACCAGTGATGACACTGGGTTGCTTAAAGGAAACCTGAACGTTCTGCAGAGCAGTTTGGAATCCTGGCTCGGAGCAGATAAGTGCATCAGGAGGAACACAAAAGCTAAATTCAGTGTGAGCGTTAGAGGCGTTCCTGGTTCATTCAAACAGCAGGCAGAGCCAGGAGCCCTTCTGCTGAGTGTTCTCCTTTTCATTCTCAACATCTCGGGGAAAGCAGCTTCAAGTGGGGTGATGCTTTCACTGATTATAGAGAGCTTTGAAGGAGAGAGCCAGCATTAATCAGGAGGCAATTTCATGGGGTGCAATCAGTTCTCCTTCAGCAGGGAGCTCTGCAGCATCCTCTTGATCTGTTTACTGCTCTGCCCAGATCTAATTCTGGTGTGTGCCTTATATGTAAGAAAGCAGATGTGAGTCAGCAGCTTGGAGCTCCGGGGTCGGGAGACTACAGGATGCTGAGAGGTAACCACAAGTCAAATAAACCCACACACGTGGGCTTGACCCCCTTGAGTGAATAGTTCTTACAGCTCAGACACAAATAAGCAGCTCTTTTCTTCAGCTGCAGCATCAAAGTCCAGTGCTGGTTGGCGTTGAACGCCCAAGGTACTGGAACAGGAGAATCAGGTGTTGGCATCTTGTAGCACATCAGGGCACTAAGGCTGAAGGTCTTGGACCTGTTGCCTTGACGCGGTGGGAAGAGAGTTTGGAAGTAAGGTTTGAGCTCAGAAATCCCAAATGTTCTCAAGTTTCCAGTAAATTCTCTAAGATCCACTGGTTGTTGCTGAAATGCAGATTATGCAGCAGCTCTGGGTTAAGTTTTCTGAGCTGCTGGTAAAATGAAATATGTTGTTTTGTTTGGACCTTTTCCTGTAGAATGGCTGCGGGGGTACAGATGAGACTTCCTAACAGTAAGCTGTCATGAGCTGGTCAAAATTTAAACGTTCCTTTATTTGCTTCTTGCTGAGAGACCCCTCATCAGGCAGTGGCTTCTGGGGGCTGCTGAGTAAATGCTCTCGAGATTTTATGCCAAGAGAGGTGAAACCTTAACGTTGAAGATCTCAAGCTGTTGGTGGAGGGAGAGGGTAGTGGGAGGTGAAAGAAGGAGGGGTTTTTCTCTCTTGTTTTTATTCTTGAAGTGTCTCCTGTCTCAGGGAGCAGTTGTCTGCAGTGGTGTTTGCTTTGCTCTGGGGACTTTGCACAGCATCAGGGTGTGGTTGGAGCAGTTCATAGTGAAGGTTAAAGAGGTTGCCCAGCTGTAAGGATGGAATTGTCACCTCATCAGGGTTGTTGGGCCAGTTCAGGGCAGCCCAAGGCTGCATGTTCACCTGCAGGCTCCTTATGGAAAGGCTCCTTGTGCAGACTCACTGGGCATTACTCTTTCATGAATGACTCATTGTATTTGCCTCCAGCGGCTTTTCACAACCACCTTCTCAGCCCTGTGCTCTTTCCTCCTGTGCTGCTGGTGCAAGTCCTGCGATTGGAAGTTGGGCAACCCACCCTCGGAGATTGCTAAGACCCATTTTGTGGTGTTTTGTGTTGTGTGTATGTTTAGTAGCAGCAGTGTTGGCACAGCTTAGTTGTGCAGCAGGTCGAGGGAGGTCATCCTCCCCCTCTACTCTGCCCTGGGGAAGACACATGGAGAGGTGTGGGATTGATGGGTGGACTGTTCAGTGGATGAGGAATAGGTTGGATGGTCACATCCGGAGGGTGGTGGTCAATGACTCAATGTCCAGGTGGAGATCAGTGACAGGTGGTGTCCCTCAAGGGTCTGCACTGGGACCAGCACTGTTCAGTGTCTTCTTCAATTACATGGACTGTGGGATCGAGGGCACCCTCAGCGAGTTTGCAGATGACACCAAGCTGGGTGGAGCAGTGTCATGCCTGAGGGACAGGATGCCATCCAGAGGGACCTGGACAGGCTGGAGAAATGGGTCCATGTGACTCTCATGAGGTCCAACAAGGCCAAGTTCATCTTCTGCTGCATTTCCTCAAGACTTCTTTTTTGTTCACAGGGCCAGGCGTGAAGACTCCAGAAGCACGAACGATTGAGTACCTGGAGGAGGTGGCAATTGGCTTTGCCCGGGGACTGGCCAACAGAACTGTGTCTGCCAAGAGATCGAAAGGGCTAATGCAGAGTAAGTCTGGCCATCGTAGCCAAATCCCAAGGGGCTGTAGTGAGTATAATCCCGTTTTGCTTCTCAGGGTTATGTTTCTCCTCCTATGTAATTCCATCTTCAAAACAAAGCTATTTCATGGTGTAATTGTCTCTTGAGCCAGGTGGGTTGGTAGAGAAAACATTGCTCTGCAGACCTGATCTTCAGGTGGCGTTGCCAGAGCTGCACATGGTGGCTCCTGAAGTGTGCTAGGAGGGAGCCAGGCTTTGGGGAGAGAGCAGCAGCCACCTCCAGAGGATGGTGCATCCTCAAAGCTTGATACAGAACTTGCTACTAGAACTTGTGCCACCGAGTGGGAAGAGGCTCATGGGTCTGCTCTGCTCTGATGCTCTTTAGCAGAGCCCAAAAACGATGACATCTCTATGTGAGTTCTGCTCCACAGAGCTTGGTCTGTCAATGGGTGGATTGGCATATTTTAGCCCTAAATGAGACTCATCAGTGGAACAAGCCCTAGATGCCTACATATCTAGCTGGGTTTGAGGTGCACGTTGCTATTGCAGAAGTGTGATATTCAGACCTATACTCCTTATCTTTCCAGTTAATCATTAAGGACTGGTGGTGCGTGTAGCACTGTGCTGAGAGGTGTTTTATCCCATCTTGCAGAGATAACAGACTATGCCATGGCTCTTCCCTTTGTGAGGCAGCAAGTCTACAAGACGGTGGAGGGCAAAGTTCAGAAGCAAACCAAAGGACTCTACCCTGCTCCGCTAAAGATCATTGAGGTAACCCCCCCTGTGAGGCCCAGGGAACAGCAGGTGGATCTGGGGGATAACACGGCAACAGCCTGAGGGAGGGTGGTTCCTTCCTTCCTCTGAAGACCACACATCCTGGTCCTCACAGAAGGTCGGTCTTGGCGAGTGCTGGCTGTGTGGTGTATCGAGCAAGTGTGCTAAAATTCAGAGTAGCTTCCCAGGATATCATCACCAGTTTATGTGGTACTGGTACCAGTAAGGGGAAGATCCAGGATCCTAGTGGAGGAAAGGCTTAGCTGGAATACTTTGTTCATGAAACTCTCGGCTGCAGATTTTCCAGGTTTCCTGTACAGTTTGTAAAGAGTTGGGTTAATCTGTTTGTAGCCAGGAAAACTGCTGTTTTCATGGCAATAACGACACAATGCTTGAAAAGCTAGTCCCTTGATTTACCCAGGTGTTGTATTACTTGCAGACAGTGTCCACGGTTGAATCCTTATTTTAAAGTGACTTTTCACTTATTTAAGTTGTTGCTGAGACTTCTCTAAAACCTGTGAGTGAATGAAACCCCCTCTGAGAGCAGTGACATTACAGGAGCACCGTCCTACTGAAAACAATTCCTGAAGCCACAAGATACCTGTAAAAAAAAAATCAACCTGATGGAAAAGTCCTTGCCATCATAGCAACATCCATGTTCTGTGCTGGAAGGGCAGGGGGATTCATAGCTGGGCTTTGAACAGTGTGGACAGGACCCAGAGAGCCTGGATTGTGCCTGGGCTGTTGGGGAGGGGTCAGTGGTGAGAACGGGAGGTGCAGCTCAACACGGGATCTCCTCAAAGCGTAGCTGTTGGCTCACATGACTTCACAGCAGTGTATCTTTATTGTTCTTCTTTGATTAGGTCGTAAAGACTGGACTTGATCAGGGGCGTGATGCTGGATACCTCACCGAATCCCAGGTAAGGAGAGGAGCAGTCGGTAGATGGTGTGGTCAGGGGGGATTTGTGTTTGACCACACACAAAGGACAATAATCGTCACAGGCTGCTCAAAGCGGTGTCTTGCCCCTGCCCTGGGACAAAAGCCTGTCCTCAACAACAGAGCTGTTTGTCAGGGTCCTTCATCTGTAAAAACAGCTTGTGCCTTTTCTCGTTCCTCCCTGTGTTGTCTTTTTGAGTGGGGAATACCCAGATGGACTTCACCAATCTGGGTTTCTTTGCCCCAGAAGACGTGCAATGGTCCCATCTGGTTATCTCTGCATTTGGATCATCTCTGACATCGCAGCCCCTTAAACCACTGGTGAAATCCATCTGTCCCCTGCAGTCCTCACTGATTTTCAGCAGCTTCTCACACTGCTCTCTGTCACATCCCACCATGCCTTGTAGCTCCTTTTGTTCTCTCCTGGTGCCAAGGTCCTGGTCTGAGATGGAGCTGTCTGCCTCCTACCTTACCAGTGACCTCCTGGGTATGCCCCGTCCGTGCTGGTTACACATTCCACCCATGTCTGGTCTGCTGCTCAATAAAAGGCTTGGGATACTCTGTTCCTTGCAGAAAAGAATGAATGCTGCTTTTTTTTTTTTTTTCCCCCTGAGAATAGCAGCAGGATGGAGATCTTCCCAGAAGCCTCTAAAGAATAATAAGTGTCAGTGTCGTGTCTTTTCTGATTCCTCCCTCTGTCCCCCAGGACAGGAGACTTGCAGATCCTCTTCCAGGCTTTGTGTTGGTGGCATTTTAACAAGCCTCTCGCTGACGGGAGGAAGATAGAGCCTGCTCTAAACGACGTCGCGTTGGCGGCTCTCCTGAGCCGACTTGGCTCAGACAACATCAGTTTTCTATCACTTTACGCTGTCTTTTGTCTTCCTGACTGTGTTCCCATTTCACCCTGAGTGCTGGGAGGTGGTGCAGGCCCTTTGGTTTTGTTGCCTGTCCGTGGTCCTCTGAAAATAGTATCAGTGAGTGAGAACTGGCCTGTTTAAAGATTAGGTTTTTTTAACTCAAAGTCTGAGGGCAGAGCCCTTTCACCTGGGAGCCCCAGTGACAGCCCCAGCTATTGCGGGGGGCAGAAAGGGTCCCATGCCAGTGAGACACAGTCCTGCCACTGGGGAGGGGGAAGCAGAAGTGGCAAGTTGGCTCTTGCATTGATCTGGAAGGACCCCGAAGCAAGCTGCTCGGCTTCTGGCTTACCCTCAGGCCAGTGACCAGCCAGGGAATGCTCTTGGCTCTTGCATTGATCTCAAAGGACCCCAAACAGCATGCTCGCTTCCAGCTTACCCTCCGGCCAGTGACCAGCCAGGGAATGCTCCTCCCAAAGCTGTGCTGGGAGGTGGAAATGAGCTGGGAACGATTTCCTGGGTAGGAAGGAGATGGATGTGGAAATCCTGTGGCTGCTCTTGTTCCCTGTGCCTCTCCAGACAGGGAGTTAGAGGTGCACGCTCCTTCACATGCTTTAAATTATGTTGTTTATGGGAAAGGACATTGAACAAGCAGTTTCCTGCTGCTTTCCAGCAGCCTGTTTGGGAGGTGGTGGAGCAAAGTGGGATGTGCTTAGCACAGAAGGAGCTTCCGTGCAGAGGATACATATTCCCTGTGTCCATTCTTCCTTTTCTAACCAGGTCACCAGTCTGTGGCTGGGCTCCCCTCGCTGTGCTTTTGCTGGAAGGGGGAGGGCTGTTAAATGTCAAACTCTCCACTTCCCTCTCCCCTTTCTTCCAGAGCTTTGGCCAACTTGCCATGACCAAGGAGTCCCAGGCGCTGATCGGACTTTACCACGGGCAGGTGCGCTGCAAGAAGAACAAGTTTGGAGCACCTCAGCGAGAGGTCAAGTAAGTGGGATGCCTGAGGAGCAGTTGGAGGACCTCTGTTGAAAGGCTTTTGTGACCAAGTGGCCTGGAGTCCTGAAAGTCAGTGTGGCAAAAGCAGAGAGATTTCCAGCCTCCGTGAGGCCAGTCCTCTGCAGTTTGGATGTCTCTCACCCATAAGTGAGATCTTCACTAAAAATAACACCTGGGTGGACAGGATCTGTGCAGGTCTGACAGCAGCGATGGAAATTCAGCTGTTTCTAGCTCTGAGTGTGTCTCCTGGGTCCTTTTCTGTACAGGACGCTGGCGGTGCTGGGAGCTGGGCTCATGGGAGCTGGGATTGCCCAGGTTTCAGTGGATAAAGGACTGAAGACCATCCTGAAGGACACAGCACAGCAAGGCTTGGACAGAGGACAGCAGCAGGTCTTCAAGGGGTACGTGGGTTAAAAGGGATTTGCTTGGCATGGGATGGGGCTGCTGCTAGTCCAAGTACTCCCCTGCTTCCAGGCAGTCAGGAACTCCTGACACTTGTGATCCTTTGGAGTCTTCTACCATCAGATGTCACAGAAATGCTTTCTTTTAAGGTTGCCCTATGCAGTGAGCTGGGATATTGCTACGAAATAGGCCCAGTCTATTCAGCCTTAGCTCCTTAGGTAGGTAGATGACCCAACAGACCGTTGCTTTAGCTTCTAGATTTAGCAGTAGCTAAGGATGCCCTTGGTGTTTGTGGTGCACCAGTAGCAGTCTGGGCTGGCCTGCCCAGGGACGGTGACAGACCCCTCCTTCCCTAGGCTGAACGGCAAGGTGAAGAAGAAGAGTTTGACATCATTTGAGAGGGACTCCATTCTCAGCAACCTGACCGGCCAGCTGGACTACAAGGGCTTTGAGAAGGCAGACATGGTGATCGAGGCTGTGTTCGAGGACATTAACATCAAGCACAAAGTGCTGAAGGAGGTGGAGGCTGTGAGTATCAGTTCTGAGCACCTTGTGCTTGATGTGTGACCCCTGAGGAGACTTGGGGTGTCCTGTCCCATGCTGCTGGCTTTGTCACATCTTCTCTGTGCTGCTGTTTGATGCGTGGGCAGCCTTTCTGTTCACTAAGGATATTCACTGTTCAATAAAGAGTCACATTCTGACATTCTCTGGCTCCTGGGAGCCTCTCCAAAAAAAACCTTCCATTTTTTCTGAGCACATTGCTGTGACAATAATGTCCTTTGGTGTCTCCACAACTTACAGTCCTTTACTTAATATCTCTAACTCGCTGCCACTGCTGTTTTCTGTTTGAGAACACATTTGGGGAAATATCTGTGCGGTAAAAGAGCTGCCTGTGCACCTTCCTGAGGTCCCTCCCCACAGTGTCTAATGTGGTTGCAACGGTCTGGCAGAAACGTGGGGGCTCTGAGACTAATATTGCAGCCCTGGGGAAGAGTTCAGGGGAATTCAGACCTGGCTGACTTGGGCTTAATTAGAATTAATCTCTAACGCTGTCTGCGCTGATGGAGAAAATCAAATTTGCCTTGTTTGTTGGGGTTACTGGGGGCTGGTACTGGTCTCTGGGGGCTCTGCACATCACGCTCTGGATCTGACTCTGACTCTTGCACCCCCTGCCACAGGTGATCCCTGCCCACTGCATCTTCGCCAGTAACACCTCTGCCCTCCCCATCAGCCAAATCGCTGCTGTGAGCAAGCGGCCGGAGAAGGTGAGTACCCAGTGCCACGTGCTTCCTCCTCAGAGCATGAAACAGCTCATCCTCTGCCCCCAGGACAAGCCTTGACCCAAGAGCCTGTGGACCTTGGGCAGATAGGAAGGGGTGAAGGTGGTCTAAGGCCCAGGGTGCTGTTGGTGAGGCAGGGTGCAGCAGGGAGGTGAGGGCACTTCAGGAAATGTTAATGCATGTAGGGGGGCTGAGAAGCTGTGGAAGGACTCAAGCTGAGAGAATTCTAGCCAGGAAGACTTCAGACATTTTGATTAGATGTAGGAGTGACTTGCCATGATGGGAAAATGCCTTCTCAAGAAGGCACTAACCCAGCAACAAAAAAGGAAGAAAAGTCAGTGGCTGGAAGCTGAATTTGGAGGTGCTGAAGCCTTGTTGATCTCTTGAGGGGTGGTGGGGTTTTCTCTCTGCCTCCAAATGATCCATGGTCCACAGAGCCCTTCTGCTGGGAGGGGGGGCTGAGAGAGTTGGGGGGGTCAGCCTGGAGAAGAGAAGGCTCCGCGGAGACCTTGGAGCCCCTGCCCGCCCCTCAAGAAGGGGGGCTCCAGGAAAGCTGGGGAGGGACTCTGGCTGCGGGAGGGGAGCCCGAGGAGGAGGGGGAAGGGTTGGACCCTGCAAGAGGGGAGATGGAGCTGAGCTGTGGGGAAGAACTTGTTTGGTGGGAGGGTGGTGAGAGCCTGGCCCAGGTTGCCCCAAGAAGCTGTGGGGAAGTTCTGGAGCTCAGCTGGAAAGTGTCACACAAATGAAAAGTGCAGCTGCCCTTGGCTGGTTCCCTAAACCCCTACAAGGGGCTCAGTTACTGCCCCAAGCCTTTGCTGCTTGTCTTCCCACAGAAGTTCTGTGGACATCTGCAAAGGCTGTAGAGCAACAACGTGTGTCCCTGCTGTTGGAGGTTCCTGTGACCTTCATGAGCCTCTCCCTGCTTTGCTGTCGGGCCTTGGGTGCATCGGAAATGCAAACTGAGCCTTGCCTGTTCATCCTTGCAAATGACATCCTCCTGCAGGATAAATCACCTGTGTAATGGCTCTTTATGGGGAAACTAATAGGAAATCAGTTAATTAGTGTGTTTTCTTTAATTATTTCTGCAGTCTGCAGCTCTCCTGCAAGGTGCCTCTGACTTACACAGACATTAGTGCCAAGTGTAGCTTCCAGGAGGCACGGAGGTGACGTGCTGATTACACGCTCCTGTTAAGAAAGCGAGGCATGCAGCCCAGGGAGCTCCACACAAATGCTGCTCCCAGAGGAGGGCTGCGCTTCCCTCCGTAATTAGTTTCTGGAAACATGCCTTCTCACCCTGAAATTCATCACCATAAAAAAGAAATGAAACATTCACAAGCAGAGCGCAGGGAATTCTGCTCCACGTCTGTCTCTGTGGCTGCTCTTCCACTCTCAAAGCCCAGCAGAAGCACCACCAGGCGTGTGGCTGTGCTGCCAGCTCAGATGGTACCTGCAGATCACGCAGTGCTTCTAATTTGTCTGAGGACTGAGCTCAGCCAAGATTTCCAGGCAGGTTTTGCTGCCAGATTAGTAACACGTACAGAGAGAGCTCGTGGTCCCGTAAGGGTTATACCTAAATATGGGTTAGTGATGGTTTTGGCAGTGTTGGGCTGATGGTGGGACTCGATGATCTGAAGCTTTGGCAGTGTTGGGCTGATGGTGGGACTTGATGATGTGAAAGGTCCCTTCCAACCTGGACAATTCCATGATTCTGTTCTATGATTCTGTAAATCCTCACTGAGGCAAGAGCTGCTGTGTCCTTGGGAAAGCCAAGGAGAGCAAGGGGAGATGGAGAGCACTCCCGTTGGAGAGGGATACAGCGGAACGTGCGGCTGAATGGACGCTGCAACCCACGCTGGCCTGCTTCCCTCTGTCCTTGGCCCAGCAAGTGACTCTGGGAGCCAAAGCCTGTCTTAATCCTGCTCTTTTCCTCCTGCCCAGGTGATCGGGATGCACTACTTCTCCCCCGTTAACCCTGCTCTCTTCCTCCTGCCCAGGTGATCGGGATGCACTACTTCTCCCCCGTTGACAAAATGCAGCTGCTGGAAATCATCACCACAGACAAGACATCCCAGGACACCGCTGCTTCCGCTGTTGCTGTGGGCCTCAAGCAGGGCAAGGTCGTCATCGTGGTAAAGGTGAGGGAACACCGCACAAAATGTGAGCTGGGGTAGTAAATAAAAGGGCAGAGTTGTGCACTGGGAGAAGGCTGAGATGTAGCTGTGAACACTGAGAAGTAAAAATGGAGGTTAGAAGGCAGTAGGCGCCAAGCTGATCCCTCAAGTGTCCTTTGAAGCAGCCATGGAAGGGCAGAAGGGGCAGGAAGAGGCTGATCAGCTGGCACAGGGAGCTGGCAGCCTCTCTCCACACAGATTCCAGGAGGCTGAAGTCTGTCCATCTGAGATGGAGCAGAGTCTGGGCTGGACTCTCACCACCTCCTCTTGCAAGCGGCAAGGACAGAGGGGCCTGTGACCGTAACTTGCCTCTTTTTGGGTTCAGAGGTGATGTCAGAGAGGGCAGAAGGGCAGAGGGAAGAGCTGTACCAAGCAGAGGGAGAAGGACTGAGCACAGTGAGGCAGCAGTTGAGAACAAACTTCTCACTGACGTATGAGTTTGCCAGCAACGCTGAGCAGGTCTCTCCTGCGCTGCTGGGAAAACTGGCTTGTCTAAAAGTGCTCTAGGCATCTCTAAAGGCCAGTGGAGATGCTTCTCCAACCCTCACCCCCACATCACATGCTGCCCTGAATCACAGTCTGCAGCTAATCTGTTGCTGCCTGACTTTGTGAGTGATATCAGAGGTGAAACAACTGGTTTCTGCCTCTCACTTGGGCTGAGCCACCCCTTTCCCCCTGTCAGCCTGTTGTGCTTGGTGAGGCAAGGGGACTCCTGCAGCCTGCTTGGGATATCCAGGTGCTATTTCCAATGGAAACACTTTAGTTGGAACTTCCAGGGAGTAAGTTCATGGAAGTCTTCAAACAGGGCTGAGCCCTAAGGGGAAAAAAAACAAACCAAAACAAAAAAAAAACCCGAAAACTATTCTAGCAGTGGATAAGATGCTGTTAGAAATGGAGTTCAGTGAGTGTGCTCTGCACGTCAGTGCCTGGGCTGTGAAACACAGGTTTTGTGCTGCTCAGAGAGTCCATGTTCCTGCTGTTTGTGCTCACCCACCTTCCTGCTGTGCTCCTCTTCCCTAGGATGGGCCTGGCTTCTACACCACCAGGTGCCTGGGGCCAATGCTGGCAGAAGTCGTGCGAGTTCTCCAGGTGAGTATCCATCCTGTCGCCTACCGAGCACCCACCAAATAGTTGGGTAAACTCTGCTTTCTCCTCGCCCCCATCAGGCTGAGGCCAGCCCTGGCTAAGAAGGGAGGTGGGTAATGAGCCCCAGTGCCGTTAGTTGTCCCCAGCCAGCTCTTGGCTGAGCTGTGGTCTGATGGGATCTGATGGGGCTCTTTCCTCCCCACACAGCACCAGGTCCTCTTCCCTAGGATGGGCCTGGCTTCTACACCACCAGGTGCCTGGGGCCAATGCTGGCAGAAGTCGTGCGAGTTCTCCAGGTGAGTATCCATCCTGTCGCCTACCGAGCACCCACCAAATAGTTGGGTAAACTCTGCTTTCTCCTCGCCCCCATCAGGCTGAGGCCAGCCCTGGCTAAGAAGGGAGGTGGGTAATGAGCCCCAGTGCCGTTAGTTGTCCCCAGCCAGCTCTTGGCTGAGCTGTGGTCTGATGGGATCTGATGGGGCTCTTTCCTCCCCACACAGCACCAGGGGAGAGTCAGGAGTGGTGCAAGCACAATTAACAACAGCTAACGGGGCTGGTTGCAGGCTGTGGCCCCAGATGAGTAACAGCTCCCCCAGAGATACCATTCCTTCCCCTTCCATTCCTACAGGAGGGTGTTGACCCAAAGAAAATAGACGCCATCTCTACAGCCTTTGGGTTTCCTGTGGGTGCTGCCACACTGATCGACGAGGTGGGTGTGGATGTGGCCACGCACGTGGCTGAGGACCTCGGCAAGGCCTTCGGCGAGCGCTTCGGAGGAGGCAGCATCGAGTTGTTCAAGCTCATGGTACAAAAAGGCTTCCTAGGTGAGACACTGGGCTGCTTTAATTGAATCTGTTTCCCCTTTATTCAAGGAAAAGCACTAGCATCCATCAGCCTGTTTTGCCTCGGGTGGGAGCAGTTGGAGAATAGTCCTGGGAATGGGTTGGGAATCCTTGTCAGCTGTCTCCTTTGGCTGCAGCCAGACCTTTCTTTGCAGACACAGCAGCAGTGGGCAAAGATACCGCCCAGAGCAAAGGCAGCAGCAAAGTTCTCATCAATCTCTGTCTGGTCCCTTTGTGAAACCTGCACTAGTGCTCTGGGGCAGCGAGTGGCTGGAAATCAATGTGCTTGAGCAAAACAAGCCCTGAGCTGAGCTTCAGAAGCTCTGTGCCAGGCAAAATTATGTCCCTGTCCACGTGGTAGAAACTCTGCCCGGGTGGCACTGGGTGCCAGGGGTAGCTGTGTCTGGAGCAGCATCCATCAGTGGGACCTGGGCTTGGACCATGACAGCTCTCACCCTCCAGTGACCCTTGCTGTGACCAGGCTCCCGGCAGCGAGGGTTACCCAGGAGATCTTGTCATCTCTGTCCCTTGCTCCCAAGGACTGTGTCTTTTTGCTGCCGTAGCCATGGAAACAGTGGTGTTATTTGACTGTCCTCTGGACCTAGTGAAGGCATCGGGGCCTGGCACAGTGACAGCGTCGTGCCAGGGAGTCAGCTGGACGTGGGTCCCCTTCCCTCTGTCCTTGCTGAGGCAGCAAACAGGCTCCCTCTGAAGTGCAGAGGAGCTGCCTGTGCTGGGAGGATCTGCTCGTGCAGCAGGAATCACAACCAGATCAGAGGAAAAGGTGTCACGAGCGAAGGGGACACGTGGCAGGACCTGACTGTCTCTTTTTATCCCCGGCAGGTCGCAAGGCAGGGAAAGGCTTTTATATTTACCAGGAGGGGGTGAAGAACAGGAACGTGAATTCTGGCATGGATGAGATCCTGGCGCAGTTCAAAGTGCCGGCCAAACCCGAGGTGTAAGTAGCTGTGCCTGGTGGGGGGGGCTGGCTCTCCCCCCTGCCCAGCTCCTCCTCCTGCCTCGCAGCAGGAGCTGCACCAAGCAGTGCTGGAGGACATTGCTGGACATGGAGTCTCTCCAGGTGGCATTTGGCTGTCCCCAGCTGGCCAGGCTGTTGGCTGTGAAGAGCCTGTGCTAGTGGCAGTGAGGCATCCTCCAATTTATCAGCATTTGCTTGAGCATCTTTGCGGAAAACTTCTCTATGGTGGGGGTTACCAGGGCAGGAGGGTTGGTTCAGCCCTTGCCTTCCTGACCTTGGACCTGTCGTACTCTACTCCTGCCCCACTGCTCTGCCCTGGGGAGGCCCTATCTGGAGCACTGTGTCCAGTTCTGGGCTCCCCAGTTCAAGAGGGACAGGGAACTGCTGGAGAGGGCACAGCAGAGGGCTACAAATATCATGAGGGACCTGGAGCATCTCTCTGCTGAGGAAAGGCTGAGAGACTTGGGTCTTTTTAGTCTGGAGAAGAGAAGACTCGGGCGGGGAACTGATCAATGCCTATAAATAGTTCAAGGGTGGGTGTCAAGGGGATGGGGCCAGGCTTTTTTTAGTGGTGCCCGGTGACAAAGAGGTAACGGGCACAAACTGGAACGTAGGAAATTCCATCTAAACATGAGGAGGAACTTCTTTCCTTTGAGGGTGGCAGAGCCCTGGCAGAGGCTGCCCAGGGAGGTGGTGGAGTCTCCTTCTCTGGAGACATTCAAACCCACCTGGACACGTTCCTGTGGGACCTGCTCTGGGTGACCCTGCTCTGGCAGGGGGTCGGAGGAGATGATCTCCAGGGGTCCCTTCCAACCCCATATCATTCTGTGATTCTGTACCTCCTGGCATTGAAACATCTGGAGCAGTCCCCATCTGGCCTGCTGGAGCCTTTGCCATTCTTGGTTGCCTGCCTCAGGTCACAACACAGAGCTTTGTCCTTGTCCTCATGTGGATAGGGACAGTCTCAGTCTCATCTCTGCCCCCGACCTGTGCTGGGCCACAGATGCTCCTCCACCCAACTGCTGTGGTGCCTTTCCAGCCCTTACAGACTCTTTCCTTGCAGCTGCACCGACGAGGACATCCAGATGCGCCTGGTGACGAGGTTTGTGAACGAGGCAGCCATGTGCCTGCAGGAGGGGATCCTCAGCAACCCCGTGGAGGGAGATATCGGTGCTGTGTTCGGCTTGGGCTTCCCGCCGTGCCTGGGAGGTAAGGGGGTTCACTGGGCTTTGGGCTGGGCTCAGAAGCTTTGTAGTGGCCTTGCCTAGTGGGCTGTAGCCACCAGAGCCATTAAGGCCAGGTTTGAGCTGCAGTGTGACATGGCTGAGTGTCCTCCTCTGGGTCAGGCTTTAGATGGGAGGTTGCTCTGGCATTCCCACCCCAGGAGAGGAGGTAGCAAGCCTGAGAGCTGCTGTGAGATATTTCTGCCAGGACACAGTGGAGCAGCTGGAGCAGCTTTTTCACTGAGCTGTGATAGCCATGGGGTAGGTGGGATGGGAGATACGCAGAAGCTCTACTTTTTTAAGAAATCCCTGGCTTCTGTGCAGCAGCCATTGCACTTAGAGAAAAATGTGGCTCTGGTGTCTTCTGTCTTGCCACTGCTCCTTGCCTGGGCAGGAACATTGCAGCACTTCTGGAAACCTGGTCTCATGCTGCACAGAAAGTTGAGAAATGCTGCCCAAGGACCTTCTGTTCCCCCCCTGTGCCCTCAGATAACGCTGAGCTGACAACCTCAGCTGTGGTGCACAGCACTTCTCAGGCCAAGGTACTTGCTGGGCCAAGTTCTCCTGGACCCATCTGTGACCCCCCTGGGTGGCTGTGGCCACAGCTTGGCCAGTGGCTGAGGCAGGAGCTGAGGTTTGGGTCACAGCTGAAGGATGCTAAGGGCTCTTGGGCATGAGGTGGTGCTTCTGCCAAGTACCTAGTGCTTCCCCTCCTTGGGGCAAGCTCAGGCTCAAATAGGAAGACCAATTATTGGTGCCCCAGCTCGTCTCCTTCAAGAGAGGAGAATGTCCAGCATGTCCTCTGGCCTGTGGGGACCCTCACAGTTTTAGGATGGGCATTTTGGACCAAGCAAAAGCCACCAGCAGAGGTGGCAGTGTGCTGCTGAGCTGGGCTGACACCTGGGAAGGACAGGGGGCTGGCTCCAGCTTGGTGGCAGCTGGGATGTGAGTGGGAGAAAGCTCCTACAAACACTGGGACTACCCCAAAATTTGTCACCTCAAGGAGCAGGGTCCCGTGTCGCCCTGCTGAGAGACGGAGGGGATCTTCTTGAGAAGAACAGATTGGCCAAACCCAGTGGTCTCATGCTTCCTTGGCCCAGACACGTCCCTTTTGTCCCCGGCAGGTCCCTTCAGGTTCGCAGACTCCTACGGAGCCAAGCAGCTGGTGGACAAGCTGCGCAAGTACGAGGCCGTCTACGGCTGCCAGTTCACGCCGTGCCAGCTGCTGGTGGACTACGCCAACAGCCCCAGCAAGAAATTCCACCAGTGAGCGTGGCCCCGACACCACCACCACCCACCCGACACGTGCCCACAGCTGGAGCCGGGCCCACCGGGCTCTCCAGCGACACCCCCTTCTCTGTAGGTTAATCTGCCCGGCCCCCCCCGGGGCGGGGGGAGGAAAGGAGGGTGGCAGGGGGTTGCCTCGTGGCTTGTAGTCATTTCAAAGTGCCTTATCAGCTGCTGTGTGTTGGGCACGTCCGTCCCGTGCCGGCCTGGGCCTGGTGGCTCCTTGCTGGGAGAGAGATCTTCTGCCTTCGCCTTCGCGCTGCCGCCTCCGGAGCCCTGGCTCCCGCCGGCCCCAAGGCCTCACCTCTCCATAAACCTCCGGCACAATAAATCCCCGTCTCCCGGGTCTGGACTCCATGCCTGCTTCTCCTCCCCTCTCCCTGGGGCAGCGGCCTCTCGGCACCGAGGAAGGGAACCCGCTCCAGTGGGAAATAAAGCGTTCAGGCAATCCTCTGGGATCCTCTCCCTGCTTCTGCCGCCTGCCAGGCCCAGGAAGGGGCTGCCCGGCCCTGGCTTTGGATTGGGGGGGAAAGGCAGGGGCTGGCGGCATTGTGGAGACAAAGGCCCTCTCTGTCACCTCTGCCAGCCCTCAGGGCTGCAAGGAGCCTCAGGCTCTTCTGTCTGGCCCCGAGCGCTGCCGCCGGGGTTACCCTGGCAGATGGACCCGCCTGTAATGGCAAATCAAGCAGCCAAGGGCCAGAAGGGCCCTCTCCCCTTGGGGAGAGCTCAGTTTAAACTAAAAGGCTTTAAATCTCTGCGCACCTGGCACTCGTTTCAGAGCTGCCTCACTGGGCCTGCTGCCTTTTCCCTGGGCCCTGGCAGGGCTGGGGACAGGAGCTGGGTGATGTGGTTGATGCTCTTCTTCTGTCACGGCTGTGCTCGTTTCTCAAAGCTGCCAGGACAAAATCGGGCTGAGACATGGTCTCCTCCTGCCTCTGCTGGGGGAGGCACCGGGTAACCAGCCTTCAGCCCTCCCCGGGGGGATGCAACAGCCCCCAGGACCTGGAGAGCTGGGCAGGAGCTCCCACTGTGGGGTGTGAGCTGTGGGGCAGCCCTGCTCCCCCATGGATGAGGAGCTGGGGTCAGGGCTGGGGAGGTCTGGTCCCAGCCCCTCCTGTGGCTGTGGTCCCATCAAGATCAGGGGAGCTTCCTTCCAGGGCCCTGACACCTCCCTGGGGTGCAGGCAGCACCGAGCAGCTCCCACAGCAGGGCTTTCATGTAATTAGGGACAGTTAATGCAAGGGGACATGGAGTCATGGGATGGTTTGGGTGGGAAGGGCCCTTAAAGCCCCCCCAGTGCCACCCCCTGCCCTGGGCAGGGACACCTCCCACCACCCCAGGTTGCTCCAAGCCCCCTCCAACCTGCCCTTGAACCCCTCCAGGGATGGGGCAGCCACAGCCTTCTCCAGTGGCTCGTTTTTCTCCCATACGTTTATTACACTAATCCACAAGGATTAAGTTAAACCAGTTCAACGCAAACTCCAGTGTTTTCCAGCCCCTTTGGGCCAAAATTACCGTCCAGTGTTAAATGGGAAAGGGAGGGAGGGCTGGGCAATGGGGCCGAGCTGCCGGGGAGGAGGAAACCCCCCAGAGGACGGGAGCAGTGAGACAGAGCCCCGTGGTCCAGGCGGCTGAGGGGACCCCCAACGGTGGGGGGTCCCCAGTGCGGGGCTAGATTTTGGGGCGCCAGCCCTTGATGAACTGCATGATCTTCTTGACCTGGAGCTTGGTGAGGCGGAAGTCGTCGGCCAGGATCTCCTCGCTGAGCTGGACGAAGATGCTGCCGTCGATGCGCTCGCGGGCGAAGAAGCTGACCACGTCCTCCGAGAGGCCGATGAAGCGCAGGCACTTGGAGACCTCCTCCAGCGAGAGGGCCGAGAGGTCGGCGGGGGGCAGCCAGGGAGACCCGTCCCCGCTGGGGCGGGGGGCGGCTGGGGGGGCACCCCCCTCACCCCGTCCCCCGGGGGGCACCTCGATGACCCCCTGGGCCAGGTAGAGGCGGGTGAGGCCGCCCTCGGCCCCACGCAGGACGGCGGGCGAGAGCGGGGCCGCCCCGCGGATGACGATGCTGTCCCCCTCGAAGCCCTTGGGGGGCCGAGGGGGGGGCGCCGGCTCCTCCAGGGGGGCGAAGGGCTCTGGCGAGGAGGAGGAGGAGGGGGCGGACGGGGCCGAAGGTGGCTTGGGCCACTCCGGGCTCTCTGGCCATTCGGCCGGGCCGGCGAAGGGGTTGAGCGCCCCGAAGGGGGCAAAGCGTTTCTGGGGGGGCTTGAGGCGGGGGCAGCTGCGGTAGGGCTTCAGGGGGGGCTCGGAGGCGGGGAGAGGGGTCGAGCAGCCGCTGCCCCCCCCGGCACCCGCCTCCACGTACGCCCAGGGGTCCGACCAGGAGGAGGGGGCCGGCTGGGCAGCGGGGGGCAGCGGGCGAGCAGTAGAGGGAGTAGGCGTCGGGCGAGGGTGAGCCACTGCCACTCCGTGGGACTGACCTGCTGGAGCAAGGGGACATGGAGTCATGGAATGGTGTGGGTGGGGAGGGACCTTAAAGCCCCCCCAGTTCCATCCAGGGACACCTCCCACCAGAACAGGTTGCTCCAAGCCCCCTCCAACCTGCCCTTGAACCCCTCCAGGGATGGGGCAGCCACAGCTTCTCGGGCCAACCTGGGCCAGGCTCTCACCACCCTCCCACCAAACAAGTTCTTCCCCACAGCTCAGCTCCATCTCCCCTCTTGCAGGGTCCAACCCTTCCCCCTCCTCCTAGGGCTCCCCTCCCTCAGCCAGAGTCCCTCCCCATCTCTCCTGGAGCCCCCCTTTTTTAGGGACTGGAAGGGGCTCTGAGGTCTCCCCGGAGCCTTCTCTTCTCCAGGCTGA